TTTCTTTCTTTCTTTCTTTCTTTCTTTCTTTCTTTCTTTCTTTCTTTGTAATTTGATTCTAAGAAGTCAAGCTTATCAAATGTTTTTTCTAAGTAGCTAGAAGATACTCGCTAAACAAAGAGGTAATTAGCTTTAAGAATAGAAGCATCTTCACAAGACATGTGGCTAACAGGCTTCATTATTCCCTCTGCTGTTTTAAGTCCAGTTCTGAGGAAAGCATGTGTTCGCGAGACGACGGCAAGTGACAGTTTGAAGGCCAGCACTTTAGTCTCCGGTCCTTCCTGCCTGCTCTCCAGGGACCCAGGTATTGAAGGCTTTAGCCCCCTGGTTGCTCCGTCGGAAGGTGGTGGAAACTTAAAGTGGCGGGGACTAGATGGAAGTCCTCTGGACGATTGGGGTGTGAAAAGATGTTAGACCCTTGCTCCTTTTCCCTTCTCTCTTACTTCCTCTATCACATGCTTCTTCCATGGTGTGTTTCCTTGCCACAGGCCCAAGCAAGGCGTCTCTCAAGGATGTCAAGTGCCAAAATAAACCCTTTCTCTTTACAAATTGATCATCGCAGGTGTGTGTTGCAGTGAAGGAGAGGTGACTAACACGGTCATCATGCAAGTTACTCCGTGTTCTGACACCCGGTGTTCTCAGCCACATTAGCCTAACCCTTTGTTCCCAGTGCTGCTATGCATCAACTCAAAGAATCCAGCACACTGCCTGGCCCATTAGAGGAAACCATCCGATGCAGGTTGAGTGTCCCTTATTTGAAATGCTGGGTTCTAGAGGGATTACAGATTTCAGAATTTGTCTTCCTCTATTTTGGAAGCCTTGCTTACATTTAGGGCATCTTGGTGATGGAACTGAAGCAAAAACATGAAATTCATTGATCATTCAAACACTCCTTTCACACATAAACCGAAGATAGTTTTATACACTACATTTAAATCCTGGTCTTTACATAGCCACTTTCTGTAGTGTTTACTTTTTTTCGCTTGTGATGTAATATTAACAAGTCATTTCAGACTTCAGTGGGTTTCATATTTTGGATTTGTGGATCAAGGATGCTGACCTGTAGGTGGTGGGTGACACATGACTTAAGACAGGGCACACAAACAACCCTTCTCAATACTCCTGGCTTCCAGAGAAGGTTTCTGAACACTCAAGTCTCAGACCCATGATGCTGACAACTGTTGGAGGAGCTGGATACTGAAAGCCACAGGTGCCTTCTCTAGAATTCCATTCAGGTAAATGGCACAAGACAGGAGAGATGCTGGCTAACGGAGGAGCCCTGAAGGAAGTACAGGTTTTTTCCTAGTCCATCCCGTTATCTCAACATGACACATAACAGTCTTTCCGGGGTTGACCTCAGTCTCCCAGCATTCCCATAAGTGTCCACAATGCCCAGTGAACCTACATATCTGCTGAGCTTCCTGTATTTATTGGCCATGACCCCCCCTCCGCCATACACACCACCAAAGGGAAACAAAATTTTAACTTCAGGAGTATCAGTTGGAGACATTAACCTCTCCTCCATTTCTCCTTTACTGTTATTAAGCTTTGATGTTATTTTTGAAGAGTTGCTTCTGAGTCTTCCAAGGAAGACAGACTTTCACTCGTGAGATGAGCAGGTCGTCTAAA